GATGAATGCAAGATTAATAACTTCAACAGCATGCCTTTTCTTCAGCAATATTCAAGTTTTGCTAAGGAAAACATCCCAGTGGCAGAAGGCCAGAGGTCATAGTTGAAGGTAATTAGTAAAAAAACCAGAAGATACATTAAAAAAAACACAAATTGAAATAATCTGGAATACACTGCATTAAAGGGAGGATGCTGAAGTTGAGGCAAATTCACAATAACTCTGAAAAGGAAATTAGATGAATAACTGAAAAATTTGCCCAGTAGTGCAGATAGAACAGTACCACAGACTAATTACACTTAATGAGGAATGATTCCAAACAAATCAAGTCAACTAAAACTATTTTAAGTAAATTTACATAACAGTACCAGTTTGCAATAAGCAGCAACTTATTTTAAAGTTTCACTGAAATATTCAATTATACTAAATTGCAAAAAATTGAGCAAATCACAACATCCTATCTCCAGTTATGTTTGAGCCGTCAGTTCCTTATGCAATAAACTATAAATGATGAACTTCAGAACATAATGTAAACATATTTTATACTGTTAATACTAGCATGTTTGATAAATAGTTAACTCAGATGGCTACGCCACGATGTACAACAGACATGTTACCATGAAGGTCCCTCATTCTCAACCTCACCACCCGCCTAAAGTGTGGTGGCCCTCAGATTTAAGATACTCATTAGTCCCTAATGAGAAACTAGCCCTATGACCCTCGCAGATTGTGGTGAATTTACCTTATTAGCATGTATGTACATGCAGTAATTTTACATGCTTTTGAACATCTCACATTCAAAAATGTCAGCCTATTAATATAAGCATTACTTTAGTTGAAGAAATGCAATGTCAAAGGAATTGTAATTTAATCTCAAAAACCAGGGATTATAATGTGATTAGAACATTTAGACGGCCAAATTTCTGGATTATGTTACGAAAATTCACTTTTGCAGTGTAAAATCTTTGTAAACAATACACTGCACTAAACTGTCTCAAGTTCTTCCAAAGGAGCAGTGACAAATGAAAGTACTATATACCAGGCCTTTCTTTCGCAACATCTATAACGCAAGGTCAAACAAATTTTGTGCAAACGCAATTCTTTCTGAAAAACAGATACTCGACAGCCTTAGTGTGGCGGATTAGAGCCAAAGCAAGGCCCAAACTGCTCGGCCGGTGGCAGCGGTTTAACTGCCAGAATCAGTCCCCTTTATGGGACGAGAAACGGACTTTAGCATCAGGTCCTCATGAACACAAGCTGCCGCCTGGTACCAGGCCAAACTCAGTCTCAATCGAGTGAAAGGAATTGCTTGCACACCGGCAGCAGTGTTCACATTTCTCCGGGAAAAGCAGTAAACTTCCGACGAGAGCCACGTACTACTCCATCACTAGATCCCGACTACCGACAACTCCAAAACAAAATTGCCCTCACCTGCCGCTGCCTGGTTCCAGATCCTAGATGTCGGCTACTAGCAACAAGCTCCTCCCACAATCGGCGGCGACGCAGTTCTGACGTGGATCATTCTAACGGGTTTACGACCCACAGGTAACTGGAGCTTCCGGAACGTCACTCCCCAGATTACTGGAGAACCTCCCTCATAGATTGCTGGAACCTCGGTGAACTGCTGAAGTCCCGAGAACCTCAACTCCTGGCTACTGGACCGTCGGAAATTACTCTAGGGCTACTGGAACCAGAAGAACCTCACCCATAGGCTACTGGAGTAGTGGGAACCTCAACAACGGACTGCTGGAGCCTGGAGAACCTCATTCGCTGGCAACAGGAGTCTCGGGAACCTCACCAACATGCTGTTGGAACCTGGGGAAACTCACCCACAGTCTGCTGGAGACAGAGGATCTTCCCCCACACACTGCTATTGACTGGGAACCTCACCCACACTGTTGAATATATGGGATTCTAATTGACAAGCTGCTGAAGACAGCAGAACATCATCCCCAGGCTGCAGGAGATAATGCAGCTTCAACTCCAGGCTGCTGAAGACAGCAGAACCTTTCCCACAGTTGGCTGGAGACAGTGGAACCTCAACAACAGACTGCTGGAGACTGGGGAACTTCACCCATACGCTCCTGGAGACAAGTGGACCTCACCAACAGGATGCTGAAGATGATGGAACCTCACCCACAGACTGCTGGAGCCTTAGGTACTTCACTCCCAGTCTGTTGGAGACATCAGAACCTCACCCACACGCTCCTGGAATCAGGAAAACCTCACCTATAGGTTACTGGAGCCTGGGGAAACTTCACTGGCAGATTGTTGGAGCCTGGGGAACCTTGCCATTAGGCTGTTGGAGCCTGGGGAACCTTATTCACAGGCTGTTGGAGCCTGAGGAACTTCCCACCAAGGTCTGCTGGAGACAGAGGAACTTCCCACC